ATGGCGTCTCCTCTCGGACGTTTCCACACCCAGGTCCTGCCTCCGACCCCGGCCCCCAGCCTGGCCTCGGCTGTCGGGGGCTTGGTGCTGGTGGCAGGCGGAGGGAGGGACGTGCCCCGTGTGAGAGCACGTCCTAGGGCCCAGGGGGGCGGCAGGGCAGGAGGTGGGGCGCCTGCCCGGAGCCAGGAGAGGCGGGGGCCACGTCACGTCCCTCAGCGGGAAGGAGGGTCAGAGTGGAAGCCGTGTCTGCCTGGCATAAAGCTGCTCCCATGTGGACATGCCGGGACTGGTGTGACGGTGGCCCCCTGCCTGCATGTGCCGCCAGCACTGCCGTGGGCGGGGGGCGGTCACTGTCACACCCTGGCCTGAACCACGGGGGCCTCTCACCTGGTCCCGAGTCTCGTGCGTTCTCCTCATCGCAGCCCCCGGGACGGCTCGGCCGCCCCCCAGGGTCTGCCCCACACTTACCCAAGTCGCCCCAAATCCGCCCCCGCCCGGCCTCCCCCGGCCGCGCCTCTGGGCCAGCCCGCCTCCCCTGTGCGGGGGTGGGGGGCGCCCATGAGCAGACTCCCCCAGGGCCAGGCCCCAGGGCCTTTGTCCCCGTCACAGAAGCAGCCCTGGCTGCCGGCCTAATTGTGACTGTGTTAGCTGACCGCACCTCCACGTGAGCAAGTGGCTAATTGCGCCTGTAATTACCAGCTGCCCAGGAATCAGCCCCGGAGTGACTTTCTGTTAGGAAAGTCACCGTGGATGCACATTCGTGCCCGAGCACGGGCCTGGGAGGGGAAGCTGGGGCCGGGGACGGGCGTCGGCAGGACGGGCTCGGGGCTGACTGCCGCTCAGTGGTGGGCGACGAGGCGGTGCCCAGCTTTCCCGAGTCCGGTTTCTCTGTGGGTCTGGCCTCCCGGGCCACTCGGGCAGGTGGGCTCTGCAGTGAGGCGCTGTCCACGGGGCTCCGCGTGGGGCTGTGGGACCAGGAAGATCTGAGCCGCTGCTGGGGCTTCGGCAGCCCAGACTCAGGCCGGGGTCCAGGGCAGGCTGGGTCACGTGGCCAGGTTTGGCCAATCAGAGTGTTCCAAGGCCAGCCGAGCCCCGGTGGGGTGGGGTGGGGTGGGCGGGCCTGTGTGTGGGTTCTCCGCCTGGGATCAGCAGGGTGAGCGAGTTTGAACCAGGCTTCCAGGGGTCTCATGAAGGTTTACTTGTGATGTAGGACAGGGACACACACACATGTTGTCCCCGTGTTGTTAGCTTGCGTCCGACTGGCTGAGAACGTCGACAAACTGAGACGCGGGTGCCGGGGCGGTCTTCGCATGCTCTCCCTGGGCCTTGCGGGCGGGAGGCGGGGCTGGCTTTGCTCCCCGTGGCGCGCCCAGCGCCCAGAACCGGGCCACAGGTGGAGCAGGCACGCCCAGGCCCTGCGCCGTGTGGATGCGTCCCCCCTCCACGCTAGTCCCCACTGTGCTAATCAGCTCTGCGTCCCCGAGCGCCACCAGCTTCCGAACATGGGGACAAAAACAAGGCAGGTGAGACCGACTATTTCAAAGGGGACTTTATTTGCTCCTTGGAGCAGCGTGCCGGGCCGACCCGCGCCAGGACGCGGCGCCTCAGAGCCGCTTCTCCCTCGGACCCAAGACCAACCGCCAGGTACCAAAAACACATGGAAAACATCGACGTGCTTCCCTTTTTTTCATATTTTCTTTTCTTTTTTTTTTTTGGTACAAAATGATACAAACGACAATACAAAATAGTTGTGCTGTTGACGATTACAAAAGAAGTCGGAACGTCTGTGTAACCGCGCGATGCTTACAGTTGCAGCGTGAACACATCATACTCCAAAACCTTTCCCGAAACAGCCACGGTCATGCGGGCTGCTGCACATTTTGTCCATTTCCAAAAGAAACATGCAAAAAAAAAAAAAAAAAAGATCTGCATGGAGAAGGAGAGAAAGGAAAAGTAGAACGCGTTCCAGTTATACAGAGAGGCGCCCGGTCTGCGGCGCCAACGGCCGCCCTCCCTGCGTCGCATGCGTGAGCTACGTCACCTGACGCCTGTGCACGCGAGAGCTTGTCACGTTTTGGGTGTTATTCCTTTAAGCATTGACAACAGTTGGGACTCCCCTCCCCCAGCTTTTGACCTTGCAGAGAACGGAGCTGTCCTCCCCAGGGACTGAGTGCTGGCTGGTGCTCCTACTAGGGACACTGAGGCATGTCTGGGCCTAACGCTTGGCCCTTACCCTGACACTTTGGATGTGCTGAAGGACACAGGAAAGCGGAGGCCTTCTTGCAGACAGGGGGGCCCCGGGCCTCCCGACCCTCCGCCCGCCCCGCCGTGCCAGACCGTCCTGCTCACCGGACAGGCTTCCGGGGAAAATACACCTCGCCCTGGCTCTGTGCCACGGCCCGGGCCGGGCCTCCACACGAGTGGGTCCCCTGGCCGGGGACACGGATCTACAGGCTACGTAAGAGACGTTTGACACTGATTGTACGCTTAGCTAACACTGACCTGTTGGCCTTGGAACAGGGTCCCGGCACGGATCTGGGAGGGGGTGGGCGCAGCGCTCTGGGGGCGGGGACAGACCTGGGAGGGCCCCGTCCCTGTCCCCGTCCCCGTCCCCAGCGGGCTGCTGTAGCCTCAGCCCTAAGGAGCCAGGCCCCTGGCAGTGATGAGAGGCGGGGGAGGGGAAGGAGCGGAGGGAGGCTCACGAGTCAGGTGTGGATGTCCCGGGCCTTCTCGCTGTGGACTTGGCAGAGGGGCTGCGGAGGGGTCGGCAAGGGCTCGGCGCGCGGGCTGCCGCGTCCCGGCCGGGCCGGCCAGGAGGCCTTGGGGTTTCAGAGAGAAGGGTCCCCAGCAGCCTCTGCTCCTGAGCCACGTTCACACTTAGAACTGGGCCCGGAGAGCAGACTTGCCTCAAACAAACAAAAAGAGCCCAGTGGCCTCCCCCAGGCGGACCCCACCAGGGGGCGCTCGCCCGGCCACGCCCGACGCTGGACGGTCTCTACCCGACCCGGACGCCGGACGTTTTGCATAGCACGGCTTAGGACGGGGCCGGGGGAGGGGGTCCTGGCCCCATGCCCTTGACAGGCCACCCCCTGACATGCCGCACGTGACACAGCGACCTCCTCCCTCCCTGGGGAGCCACGCACGGGGCCGGAGCGCACAGAGCCCGCCGCAGACCCTCCGTCAGACCCGCCGCCGCACGCAGCCCGGCTCGCCTCCGGGAGAAGGGACGCAGCCGGCGAGGAGTTTGGTTTGGGGAGGACCCGGACGTCCGCCGGGGACGCACGCCGGCGCTTTGCACACCGCACGCTCGCTCGGGTTCACCTCCAAGGCCCAAGCTGCTCAAGGAGGAGGGCGTGGCCACGGAACGGGGGACAGGCCGTGGGAGGAGGAGCGGCTCCAGGAGCCACAGGGGGAGGTGGGGAGCCCTTGCCTTGCTGCAGCCCGACCTCCCAGGCCCTCCCTGTCCCCGGGAGCAGGCCAGCCCCCTCGTCCTTCGTCACCTGGGACTCCCCTCCCCCAGCGGCTCTGAGGCCACGTCCTGCCCAGACCAGTGGCACCGGTGTCCCTTCCTCGGGGGGCCTGACAGGGACCGGGCTCAGGGACCGCCCCTGGGGGGCGCCCTCTCCCTGTGTCCTGCTGGCCGGCGGCGCCCTCCTGCCCAGGGATGCCCGGGGTGCTGCTTCGCACCCAGCACAGGACCCCGGTCGCAGCAGGATCTCCCGGGGGTCCCTGGGACACAGCCCGCCGCCGCCCGCCCTGCGGAACTGACTGCCCGGGCCCTGGAGTGAGTCCGACCAGCGCCCTCAGGGCACGTCCAGCTCCGGACCCTGAGCCGCGACCCCTCCGCAGCTGCTGGGCGCCGACCCGGGTCCGGGGGCTGCTGTCTCCAGCAGGTGCCACCCCGGGCGTCGTGGGTGGACGGGCGGCAGGATGGGGCTCCCAGCAGGTCATCGCGTGCATGTGCGCTCCCAGCATCGGAAAGCTCTGGTCCGGCCGCGTGGGGGGGAGGGGCGGCACAGAGGCTGCCCAGGCCTTGGGGTCTGCCCAGCCCTGGAGGGCTGGTGGCGCTGGGCGCGGCCGGGGGCTGGACTGGCGCGTGCCCGCCGCATCTGCGACACGTTCGGTCTGGAGGACAGGTGGGCCCAGGCCAGGGTTTGTTGGGACGCTGGCTGGTTTGAGCTGTGGCTTCTTGGGACCCCGTACAGTCCCGGACCAAAGGTGTTGGGGGTGATAGCTATCCCTGGGAGAGGCCTCATGGTTGACTCGGGGGACACAGGGGACAGCCAAGGACAGACAGCCCCTGGGAGCCCCACCCACCCTGGCTGTCTGAGCATCTGGGAGTGAAGGCAGGTGGCCAAAAATTCAGAGACGCCGGACGCACGCGGTGGGGCCTCTGGCCACGGCTCGGCCGGCTCCGGGGGGACAGGGAGGCCCGGCCGCGTGCGGCCAATCGCGAGGACGCAGAGGGGGCTGTTGCGAATTTGACCCCACACTATTTTTTCTTTGCAAATTTTGTCAAGGCGAGTCAGTCACCCACTTTTTTTCTTAATAAAAGGCCAAAATATAAAAAATAAAAAAAGAGACGACGTTTCCCCCGATTCCTAAGTTGGTGCCTTCGGAGCGAGGATGAGCTGGGGCTGGGGGCCTGTCTGCGTTAGTCACTCCTGAGTTTGCGGGAAACTGATACATGTACCAAAAGGCACTTTCATTTTTTTTTTTTAAACAGTGCTTCTGTTCTAAGAAATTCAAGTTAAGACAGAGTGCCTCTCACTGTCCTTTAGTGATGAGTCAGCTACCGTGATGGGCGGCAGGGCGAGACGTGTTCATGCCACACAGCTCAGTGTCGGGGGGCGGGGGCGGGGGGACCCCTAGCACACCGCTAAATGACGCGTCGGCAGGGCGGGGGGCACCGGCGCCCCCCCAGGCCTGCCCCTCCGGCGTCCGGCGTCCGGCGTCGGTCCGAGCGCCGGTCCCGCGGTGGTCCGGGGAGGAGAGGCCGGTCAGTCCTCGCCGCCCCCGTACATGTCTGCCAGCTTCTTGAACCGGGGTCCCCAGTCGTTCAGGTAGTTGTAGTCTTGGTCCCCGGAGCTGGACGAGTTCAGGGAGCTGACCGAGCCCGCGGTGGAGCCGCTGCCCTCGTAGTCGAAGACCAGCAGGGAGTCGTAGGGGGGCGCCGTGGGGTCGTTGTCGGCCGCCCGCAGCCCCTGGGGGCCGTGAGACGCCGTTAGGGCGGAGGGGGCCTGCGGAGCAGGGGGTCGGGGCGGGGGAGGCCCACCATCGGGCCCTGCGTGCCGTAGGCGCTCAGTGAGTGCTCCCTGTGTTTAACCGAAGGGCTTCTCAGAGGACGGAGCAGGGAAGGGTGTTTGTGGAAGCCGCCGGAAATCAAACGGTCAGCGCCAGCCTGGGGGCGGGACGGGGGGCCTGGGCGGGGCCCGTGGCTGGCGTCCAGCCCCTCCCGGGAGGCCGGTGGGTCCTGTCTCCCTGGCCATGGTCACATGGAGTGTGCGCCTGAGGTGGCCAGAAGTCAGAGTTCTGGAGGTGTTAACTGTCCCCATGAACACAACCTGGCAATGTAGCCGGCCTGGCTGCAGCCGCGCCCGGCGCCAGCCTCCGCCCTTGACTGTGGCCCCCGACGGGGGTCTGGGGAGCGGTGGGGACAGGCCCCGCCCCGTGCCTGTGGGCGGGACGGCTCGGAGGTGCAGGGTCGACACCGGCTCTGGGAGGTCCCCGGGGCGGCCCCAGGGCCGCGGGCTGTCTGATGCGCCCTACTCCGCCACGCTGACCATTGCTCAGCACGGCCTCTTTGGCAGAGTCCATTCTTACTTCCTCAAAGGGTAGTCAAGGGCGGGCTTTCTCCCTGCGGGCTGGGGGGGCCGTGCTCTCGGGGATCTAAAAGCCCTGTGACATCAGGGGCCGTGAGTGCTGCCTGGGCCGGGCTGAGCAGGGGCCGAGGCCTCGCCCGTGGCCTGGGACGTACCGTGGGCTGGGCGACCTCTACCTCTCTGTGGGTCCTGCCTGGGTTCTGCCCTGCTTCACTGATGGACGCAGGCGGGGATGTGCATGCGGCTGGCCCCCCCCCAACCCCGCCGGAAGCAGAGGGCTGGTGCCGCACGTCCCTTCGCGGCGCTGGTGCCGACGGCGAGGCTGGCCCACGGCCCACAGAGGCCAGGCCGAGTCTGCGTCCCCTCAGCCCCCGGGCCCCACGGTGGCCTGTGTGTGTTTGCAGGGTTTTACTTCTGGGGGAGGCCTGCTCGGAGCTCCCCTCTGCCCGAGCACCCACCTCGTTGATGAAGTCGCCGATGTCCCCCGGGTGGGGCACCACGGGCCTGACCGGGTACTGGGGCTCGGCGCCCACGGGCCGCTCGTCCACCCGCCGCACCCCGGCCGCCTTGCTCAGCGCGTGCTCCATGGCCTCGGGCTGCTGCAGCTGGCTGAGGTCATAGTCCTGGCGGGACAGGCGGGCGGAGGCACGGGCGGGGCATGGGCAGTGGACGCAGGCAGGGCCCCGGGAAATCCGCGGTCCCGGCCCTCCTGTCCCCTGGTCTGCCTTCCCGCCTGCCCGCCGCCTCTCTGTCCGCCCGGAAGGCACGCGTGGGGCCCGTGTCCCCCAGGCCGCCCTCATGGGCCTGGCGGCCCCACAGGGGACCCCACTGCCCACGCTGTGCAGCTCCCGCGCGTGTTCCTCAGAAGAACTGGGAGCCGGGGCCGCTGACACCCTTGTTCTTGGGCGGGGGGCTCCGCTTTAGTTGGGTAAGGACTTGCCCTGAGCCCCCCATGGCCCCGGCGGGCCCAGCGTCCAGCCCGGCAGCTCCCTGCAGCCCCGCCCGGGCGCGCTGCCCCTGTCCCCACAGCCCTGGGGCGAGGGTCCGTCCTGCCCGGCCCGCGGGGCGCGGGGGTCCGGGCCCGCGCTGCAGTGCGCACCGGAGGTGGGCCGCCTTCCCGCTGCGACAGAGGACGCGTCGTCTTCCCACCGAGACCCCCGAGGGCGCGCGGCCGGCCTCACCTGGTCCTCCTCGCCGCCACCCTCCTCGTCGTACTTGAGGATGTTGTCACGCACGTCGTCCTCGGGGTCGATGAGCAGCTGCTTGGTGTGGCGCTCCTTCTCCCGCCGCTTCATCCACACGATGAACAGCAGGACCATGGCTGTCGGGGGTGGGGGGGGGGGCGGGGGCGGGGGCGCCGTGAGCCGGACGCGTGCGCCGGGGCGAGCTTGCCACGCCGTGTGCCCCCCAGCATGAGCACGGGCGGGCCTGTGCGCATCCGTGCGCGCGCGGTGACCGTGCGCAACGCTCCGGCGGGCGTCTGCGAGGGCCCCGAGGCGGGCGGGGCGGGGAGAGGCGGGCGGCCGGCCCGGCCGGCCCGCAGCGTGGCGCGCGCCCCCACCCCCGCCGACGCCCGCCCGCGGCGCCCGGCCACTCACTCAGCAGGAGGACGACGCAGACGAGGATGGCCGCGATGGCCCCCGTGCCCAGGCCGGCCGCTGCCACCGCGCCCACGGCCGTGCAGTCGCCGTTCTCGTCGCACGGGCACACCTTGACCTTGATGACGGACGTGTTGGACAGCGGGGGGTTCCCCGAGTCTGTCACGACGATGGGGACGTCGTACACCCCGGCCTCCAGGTAGAGGATGCGCAGGCTGAGCTGAGCGTAGTCACCTGGTGCAGGGGGACACGCGGGCTCTGTTAGCGGCGGCCGGCCCTCCGTCCACGGCGGCTTCTGGAGGAGGGACGGTCTGGGCGCCCGGGGCCTCGGCGTCCGCCCGGTTAGCACGCGCAGGCGCACGCACACGGGCACGCGCGGGCACGCGCACTGCATTTCACCGTAAAGGCAGAAGACGTTGGCAACTAAATGACGTTCCAACGTGTAGGATGAAGAAATTATTTCCTTACTCTAGGAAGAGTTTTACCAAATCACTTATAAAGCAAAAAACGTCAACGAAAAACAGGCAGGGGCACGGAACAGACCATTCACAGAAGAAACACAAAACAGCCAAGAACTCTGTGAAAGAACGTCCACCAGGGGTTACGACAGAAACCGCAGTTTTGGCTCAGAAGCTGGGAAAATGCCTTTTCAAACAGCAGCGTTCCCGCGTCAGTGAGGCGGGGGGAGCAGCTGCCCGGCCGGCTAGTGGGGTGGGGAGTGCGGGCCCTTCCGACGCAGCTTCGCTGCGCTGGCAGAACTTCAGGATTTGGGGCCCTTCCATCTGCCCCCCCTGCTGCCCCTCTGCCAGGGGACGGGCCCGGGGGCTGCGTCCCAGACTCCGCTGGAGTCTCCTGGTGCCCCGGGTGGGGCGGGTGGTGGTCTCACCGTTCAAGCGGGTGATGGTCCAGTTCCTCCGCACGGCGGCCGGCACAAAGGGCAGCTCGAAGACATAGGGGCCGACGTTGGGGTCGATGTCGGCGTCGGCAGCGGTGATGTTGATGGCGCTGAGGTGGGGCTTCTCGCAGATCTGGGCCTCCCTGGGGATCAGCTCGGGGGCGTTGTCGTTGATGTCGATGAGATAGATCTGGAGGGTCCCGGTGCCACTGGCTGGGGGGATCCCTGTGGGACAGATGGGGGGTGACCACGTGGGGCCACGCCTGATACTCCACGACCACCGGACAGGCCACAGCGCCCCCTGGGGGGCCCCGTGGCTGGGTCCTGCACGGACACCGCCACCACTGCACACGTCAGGCGGACGGACAGCTCCAGAGCACATGCATGCACACGCACGCACACGCATGCACACACACTGACTGCGGCCGCCGGAGGCGCGCCCTCAGCGCTCACAGCCACACTCGCGACCCCCGCCCTCCGGGGGCCCCGGAGGCTCTGTGGGGCCCCGCCTTCCCCTGCCCTCCAAGGGTCCTGCCCTCCCACCCCCAGCAGGGCTCCCGGGCGCTGACACCCTGCGCTCAGACTCTTGTAACCAAAGGGGGAACCCCGGGAGCCGTCCATCTGCGGGACGGAGGCGTTTGGGGTTGGGTGCTCTCCCCAGGGGCTTCCCCCGCGCGCCTGTCGGGGGTTGTGCCCGCCGCCCGGGGTCCCCACGCCTCCGCCCGGGCCGACAGCGCAGCAGACGCGTGCTGGGCGGCAGAAAACGTGTCATGTCGCCCCCAGGCCTGGAGGGGCGGTGGCAACCACGTTCTCGGGGCAGCCGGGCCTTGTGGGGCGGCCCTGGGCTCCGGCGCCGCCGACACCCGCATTTCTGGGCCGAGGCAGGTGGAGCGTGTCAAAAATACACCCCGTGGCACGTTCCCGAAAACACACCGAAGCCCCCCTGCGACGACGTGGCTCGGCACCCGCCCCCGGAAGCCGCTGCGTGGCGTGCAGGACGACGCTGCGCACAGCCAGGAGCTCCCCGGCGGGGGCTGTTCACCGATGGGACTGGCCGCCCGTTTGGGGGCCCTCCGCGTGTGCCCCGCTCCGTGGGGCCGCAGATTCCGTTAGCATGTGCTGTGTCCTAACTGGGGTCCTCGCCGGCCACCCCGCCGGCCCCCGGCTGCTTCCCTCTCGCCCTGCAGGCCAGCTGGAGGCCGCTGCCCCTCCCCGGCCCCCCGTTTTGTTTTCCTCCAGCACTTCCTGCTCCTGAAACGATCAGGTCGACTTGTTTCTCACCTGAGCCCCCAGGGCAGACTTCCGGGTTGTCCTTCAGTGTCCGTTTCCCTTTCTTCCTTAGTAAAAGGAATGGGGGCCCCCAAATTTATCTGGGCTCATCCCTACCCAACCAGCAGACTGCATTTCTCAGCACCCCCTGCAGCGAGACATTGCTTCGTGAGCTGTGAGCGCAAGTCCTCAGGAGGGCAGGGGTGTGTCCTGGCCCTCCCCACTCCTCCTCCTGTTTGCCGGAACATGGCCGTGATGGCAGGAGCACCAGCAGCCGTTCTGGACCATGCTGCAGCTCGCCAAGGAGGCAGGAGCGGCCAGCGTGATCTGGTGTCTCCAACCTGACCACGGGCTGCCCGCCTCCTGCCTTCTTTGATGTGGGAGGAAATTAACCTGCCGTATTCTGCCGTGTATGGTGCGCTCCTGTGTGTACCGCGCGCCATGTTTTTGTGCGCATCATATGCGGGACTATCATACCCCTTATTATGCCCATGGTGTGTAATCATCACACCCACATATAATGCGCATCCTTATTTTTCTTTCAAAAACTTGGGCAAAATATGTGCGTTCTACCCGGCAAATACGGCAACCGTGGCGCAGTTGCTATCATCGCCCACAGCTGACCCCAGTGCTAGCCACACACACCGGCCCCGGGATGCCAGCCGTGCACGGGAGGGGCCTTGGTGCGGCCCGTTCACGGGGCGGTGCCGGCACAGAGCAGGGCTCCGGGGCCCAGCCCGGCGGCAGTGGCAGCGCTGCCTGGAGCCGCCCGGGCCCCAGGGTCATCGGCAAGGGCTGCTGCGCTGACGTGCAGGCGGGCAGGCGGGGAGGCTGAGGAGCAGGTCGCCCGCGACAGGGCTGGGCAAACCCTGGCCCCACGGCCGCCATCCCCGACTCCCCCAGCGCCCGCCCGTGAGTGGCCATGCAAACGACCAGATGGGCCCGAGAGCGCCGGCGGTCAGCCGGGGGACGGTGCTTTGAGTGGACGCGGGGAAGGCGACGGCCTGGGGGCCCCAAAGCATGATGGGGCCCAGGCCCCCCGCCAGCCGCCCCCTGGGTGCCGGTGGGCCTCCCTCGGTCTCCCCGCCAGAGCCCGCGGCGCCGGCGAGCACCCGCAGCCCCCGGGTGGGCCGTACCGTTGTCAGCCGCCAGGAAGGTGGCCTCGTAGACGTTGTTTTTGATGTAGAGGGACTCGCGGTCGAGGACGGCTGCCGTGGTGACCTGCCCGTTGGTGGCGTTCATGTGCAGCCAGCTCGCGGGGTCCGACAGCTTCGAGTACCTGTGGGGGGTGGGCACGGGAGGAAAGGTGCCGGCTGGGGACGGGGCGCCCGGGGTGCCCGCCGCGCGCTGGGTTCGCCGTGGCTTCCCCTGCAGGGGAAGGTGGGAGGGTGGCGACCGGGACTCATGGTCGCCGAGGTGGAGGGGCTGCGTGTCCTCACCAGGACCCCAGGGGCAGATGCTCTCCTGGCTCCCCTCACAGATGGGGACACTGAGGCACAGGTGAGTGACCCGCAAAGTCGTGTGGCTCGTGCGGCGAGGCCGGCGCGATGAGACGCGCCGCGACTCCCGACGTCGCTTGTCGGCCCGGACGCCGCCCGCCTGCGGCTGCGGGCTCGTCCCCCAGCCCCTGGTCGCCTCCCCTGGCCTGCGTCCCGGGGGCCGCGACCCCCGCTGTCCCCGGGACTGGGGCCCCTTGCTCCCCCCGCCGGGAAGGACGCCGCAGGTGGGGCCGGGGTTGCAGGTCCCATCGGGCGGGCGTTCGGGCTCCTCTCCCTGGAAGGGGGCTGAGGGCGAGGAGCCCCGGGCGCGGACCCACCTCACCGCCTGCTGCATGAAGCGGTCGGGGTCCACGGCCGAGAAGGTGGTGAGCGCCGTGCCGGGGGGCACGCCCTCCTCCAGGCGGATGAGCTTGTGGTTGGAGGGGAAGTAGGGGGCCTCGTTGACGTCCACGACCGAGATGGTCACCCCCGCCGTGGACTGGAAGGACATCTGGATGCCGCTGGCCAGGGGCGCCTGGTTGGCCACCATCACGGTGAGCATGAACGCTCTGTTGAGCTCGTAGTCCACCGCCTGGAAGGGGGGCGGGTGAGCCGCGGGGCCAGCGGGGGTGCCCGGGGCTGGGGCGGTGCCTGCAGGGCGGATGGTCAGCGCCCCCACCCTGTCTGTTGGTGCGTCCCCTCCCTGCTCTGCGCCCCAATGGACACCGTCCCCTTGTCTCTGGCTTCCTGCTGGCATTGGCCAATGGGAGGAGAGAGTCTGGGCGAAGGACTCCCGGCTGATAATTGCTAGATGGGTCTACAGTCTGTCGCTAAGGTTAATTCCTTAATGCGCTTGATTGTACAGAGAGAAGGGTTTAAAAACTAAGTGGGTGAGACCGCGAAGGGCCCGGGCCCAGAGACGAGGCGCAGGTCACGGGGGCGGGAACCACTGCGCGGGAGGGGCCGGAGGCAGCGGCAGGGGCCGGGGCTCTGGGCCTGCTGTCCCGCCGTCCCCTACAGCCCCCCACGGCCCCGGGTGCCCTTGGGAACCCTCACCGCCTCCAGGCCTGGCCGCCCTGCCCGCCGCAGGGAGGGGGCTCCCTGCTGCCTCGGGAGACGCAGTGACGCGCCGCCTCCCCCCACGGCGCGCGCGTCCTCACGGCCCAGCTCGGGGCCTGGCGCTCAGCGTGGTGCCGGGGACGTGGGGGACGGTCCGACGCCCCCCGACTATCACGCTTGCCCACCACCCGGCGCGATGCTGCGTGCGCTCAGGCAGGTCTGTGGTTATGGGGGGGCCTGGCCCCCGCCGCCGCCCGTGGTGTCCCCTGGCAGACCCTCGGTGGCCCACGCGGGCGGCCAGCCTGTCCAGGCGCACAGGGCAGCATCGATCGCCTGTCACCTCCCTCCTTAAGGATTCCGCCGGGGACTTCCGTCCAGAGGCATGGCCGCCCCCTCGCCCCCAGGGGCGAAGGTGCGAACCTCCCTCCCTCTCTGGACTTCACATGCGTCCACGCGCACAGCACCCAGCTGCGCCCACGCGGCGTCAGGTCCGCCCCGGCCGCAGCTGATGCATCAGCCCCCCCGCAGCCGCCCAGGTCCCTTTGAGAACTGGCCGCAGACAGCGCTGCTCTGTTTGAATGCGCCGTCCCGTAAAGTCACGGCGTCTTGGTCTACAAACGAGCCACTAAAGGCCGATCTGCCTCTTGTGTCTATGGGTCTGTGTCCCTGGAGGGCGTGGGACAATGGTGTGTGTGAGGTGCTAAAAACTGTCCCCAGCCCAAGTGAGGGCGCCTTCCAGAAAGACTATTATGGCCAATAAAGTCCACAGGAGAGAAAAGGAAAGCAGGTTTGTCATGGAGGAATCGATAGGGAATTTGCTCCGCCAGCTCCAGTGAGCGCGGCAGGAGCCACGCCCTCCCCACCCCAGCGCGCTTCTGGGGACTCGGTGGTCCAGAGGGCCTGAGAGCGGGGACGCGTCGGCCTGGGTCGCCCAGAGACGCCCCGGAAGGATCCTCAGATGCTAGCAGAATGAGCCCTGGCTTGTCATTGCAAAAGTACTGTCCCCAGGGGAGGAGTGGATAAAGGGACTGCCGGACATTTACACAGTGGACCCCTGCTCGGCCGTAAAAGAGAAGAGAATTTCACCCTTCGCGGCAGCGTGGACGGGCCTGGGGAGCGTTAGGCTCAGTGAGCGTCAGAGGAAGACAAACATCGTACGATTTCACTCAAACGTGGAATCGAACGAACACACGGAACTAACAAGCAAAACAGACAGACTCAGGAGGAGAGCAGGTGACAGTTGGTGGCGGGCGGGGGGGGGGGCTTGGGGGTGGAGGGACCGAGCAAAAAGGAAAAGGGCTGTGGACAACAGTGTGCTGAGCGCGGGGCGGGGAGGGCTTATCACGGGGTTAAATCGTAATGGAAAAAATGCAATTCAAAGAAGAACAAGGCAGACCCCTCCAGGACCAGGCAGGCTTTGTCTCCGGATGCAAGGGCAGTTTGACGCCAGACAGTCTGTCTGTGAGTGGATCGTGCCCTTCGGGGAGGGGATGGGGGTAACTTCCTGGGTGGGGTCAGCTGCTGGTCACATGACGGGTCTGGGCGGAGCCCATCTCTGCCGCGAGTGGGTTGGGCGCCATCCTTCGTCCCTGGGTGTAGGGGGTGGCATGCAACTCCCCGGAGGACCATGTCTGCTGGATTTGTCGTGGGGCACGTGCCGGGGGTGGCCCGGGTGCCCGGCAGGAAGCGAGGCGAGCACCCACCTTCACCACGGTGACCAGGCCCTCGTTGGTGACGGGGTCTGTGCGGATGACGAAGTGCCCCGAGGGGTCCCCGCTGATGATGCGGTAGACGGCGTTCCAGTTGGGGGAGTGGGGCTGATCCCGGTCCATCACGGTGAGGTTTGCGACCACCGTCTCTACCCGGTTCTCGGGGACTTCCCCGGCGAACTGCAGAGCGCGACAGGGCAGGTGTCACGGACCCTTCAGAAGCCGGAGAGGCCAGGAGAGACGCCCCAGCTGCCCCGGACCTGGGGCTCCCGCAGGCGGCCCTGCCTGTGTTCGCGGAGACCCCTCGGGATGGGGCTGAGGCTCGCTCTGCCCTGCCCCATCCAGGCGGAGCCTTGTCTGCACGCGAGCGTACCCCAGGCCTCTCCCAGGCCCCTCAGGCCCGCCCCGTGCCAACAGGGGCCGACGCCCACCCGGGGACACACGGGACCCGTGGGGCGCCCGTGCAGGGTGGGCGTGAGGAGCGGGGAGTGGCCGCCCTGAGCAGAGTCTTTCTGGGCCCCCGCCCGGCGGCTGGTCCTGACGCCGGCCTGGGTCTCAGGGTCAGCGCCGCAGCGAGCAGGTGATGAAGCTGGGCACTCGGCCCTTGTGACAATGAGGGCTGCCAGCCACTCCCGTCAGTCGGTGTGGCCCATGTGGCGGGGCAGTTACGGGAAAAGCGTGTGCGTGCGTGTGCATGCGTTGGTGCAGCATGGCCCCAGAAACCTGCGCACCGCGCCCCTGGCGGGAGTCTCGCTCGGCTGGCTCCGGGGCCCGGTGGCCGGTGCTGTCCTGGCCCAGCTCAGAAGGGCCCCGAGGTCACCTTCCTGCTCGGCTGTCCCTGCCTTGAAAACGGTTATGGTTTGTGGACAAGGGGCTGAGTTCTTATTTTGCAAATTCCCATTCTGCGAACTGCGTGGCCAGTCCCGTCACTGTGTGGTGTGATTTAGAGGCACAAAACCCGGAGACGAGGTTTGTGCAAACACCGAGTGATTCCCGGCTGTATCCACAGCAGAGAGGCCCCAAGAGGGACGGCTGGGCAGCCCCCGCGTGCCCGCGCCCGGCCCCGCCGGGTCCCCGGGGTTGCCTGGTTCTTGCCCCCGTTTATTGCGGCGAGAGAGGTTAAGACCCTGGGGAGCCACAAAGGGGAGGGGTCCAGAGTGTTCGCCCCAGGGCCGGGCTCCGTGCCAGGGCGGGCCTCCCCCAGGGGCGACCCCTCGGCCCGGTGCCGCTGGGGGTCGCAGGAGGGCTCGGCCCTCGTCCTCCCAGGATCCCTTGCACCGGCCTGACTTCAGCCAGGTGCCCGAGGCTCCCCGCCAGCAGCCCCCGCTGAGGCGCAGTGCCCCTCAGTCCTGGCCAGGCGGCCGCCTGCGTTCACACCCTGGAACGGACTCGCTGCCACTTCCTGCCCGGGACGCCCTCCCTGCACCCGGAGGCCCCAGCCCGGCTGCAGGCCTGGCCGCTGCCCCTGAGCGACTTTCAAAAGCCCAGGTGCCTGTTGGGGCGCGTGGGGCAGCCAGCTGCGCGGCCCCCACCACCCAGGTGTTTTTATGGCTTCTGCAGTGGCAGGTGACAGGATCCCATCCGGTGTCGGAGACGGGGGCCAAGGTCCCTGTGCCTGGTGCAGCCCCCGCACCTGCTGGCTCCCGGCTCCACTTCAACTCCAGGGCAGACTCAGGTGGTGTCCCCGGAGGGCCCCCGCCTCAGCCCAGCTGGGAGGGGCCGCCAGGCCCGGCGAGGCCCCGTGGGAACGTGTTCCCGTCCCCGAGTCACGGGCCTGCGGTTTCACAGCACAGGCGGTGCTGTGTGTCCCGGGTCTGATCCCTTCCAGGCGTTGGGGCGAAGTGTATTTGCAGAGTCTATTTAAATTCATGCAAGTTTAATAAAGGCTCCTAGACAGAGGCCTAAGCCGGTAAATCCAGTGTAGGATTTTCATAGGAGCATCTCCCCGGATGTAACTAGCTTTCAATTGCGCGAAGGCAGTGATCTGGGGAGGGAAGAGCTTTAGGAGTGTCCTCGCCCGGAGGGTGAATCCAGAGTATACAGAGGCCCCGGTCCCAGAGGTGGCGCGCTCCAGATCCGGGCGCGCTCCTCGCAGAAATCCACGTGCTCCCAGGGGACGGACACGTGAGTGTAGAGGTGGATTTCGGGGGGGACGGTGAGCGTGGATGCTGAGCGAGAGGTCTGACACTGGCAGCCTGTCACACGCCCAAGACCCCTGGACCCTCCAGCGTCCTTGCCACACGGACACCACACCCCCAAGACGGCACTTTGTTTCTGCCCCAAATTCCCGGATCCGTTGCTGGTCCCAGCTGCCCCCCTGTGCTGACATCTAACTGGCTCTCCCAGCCGGAACTCAGGGATGCGGCACCATGATGCCCAGAGCCGAGACCGCTGGCCCGGGCGGCCCCCGTCCTCCCAGGATGTGTTCCAGGCCCCCCACCCCGGCCTCGGGTGGGAGGAGCTGTGCACGCCCAGGAGGGGTGCCCACACACAGCCTGGTGATGCCGGGCGGGGCAGGAGGGCCTGGAGGAGCCGACTCCCGCGCTAGGGGCCTCACGCTGGGTCTCCAGGGCGTCCCTTGCGGCTGAGGCCTTGGGAGGGGTCTGCAGGCTGTGCCCCGGGACGACCGGCCCTCCAGGAACCTCCCCCCGCGCCAGGCTCACCCTGAGAGAGCTGAGTGCCTCGCAGCGGGCAGAGCGCCCTGCAGAGCAGGCCGGGCCAGGTGAGGTTTATTAACCTTTAATGGGAATCAGGTTGCGCTCCACCCACCGCAGTCTGGGCTCCGGGTTGGTCCGTGAAGGACCGCCTGCTGCGCGAGGGGTGTGGCCTGCGCTCGCCCCCGCCCACCACCGTGCCTGCAGAGTCTCCTAGAACGGCCCCCCCCCCGCCCCGGCACTGCTCCGGAGGGGACAGGCCATGGGCCATCAAGAACCCAAGAACTTAAAAGATGCCCAGAGATCCCGGGTGGCCCGGAGCATCTGCCGCTGGGACGGAAGACCCGCACTCAGAGGAGCAGCGCGCTCTGCCTGGGTCCGTCTGGACGAGGTTCCAGAGCAGCGACGCCCACTCGGGCGGTGGACGTGGGCGGAGCTACTGCGGGGGGCGGGGGGGACGGGCCGGGGCTGTGCTGGCGGGGAGGCTGTGTGTCTTCACGGGGCGGAGAGGGTCGTGGGCGCAGACGTGGGGAGATCCACAGGCAGCTCTCCCGGACTCTGCGCCCTCGGCCGCGCGCCCGTCAGACCCCGGGAAAGGGGACAGAGCTCTGTCCGACGCAGAGCGGAGGCCGCAGCCCCGGGGGTTGACGAGACCATTGACTTGGGCTCCTGCTCAGTCAGGGGCCGGCCCACTTGGACGTAAGGCCTGGGTGAGGGCTTTGCCTGCCTTGTGCGGGGCCTCCTGGCTCCCCATCCGGCCTCAGCCCCCCATCTGCGGGGTTGCCTGTGCACCCCGCTGGCCACAGCTTTATCCGGGGCACCTCGGTGCAAGAAACCCCACCTGTGGGTGGGGAAACTGAGGCGCAGGCTGAGATCGGGAGCAGGCTGGGGCTCTGAGCATCTCAGGCTGCTCTCTGAGGGCTCCTGCCGGACCCCAACTCCCTGGGGTGCCCCCCGCGGCGCTCTACACCAAACCCAGTGGGACCTGGGGTGACCAGGAGGGCGGGGCTGAGCCCTGAGCTGCCTGGGTGGCCACGGCGGTGCCTCAGGCCAGAAGCCCATCCTTCCCTCGCATCAGGGGCAATCGGCTTGGCTTCCCCGCCCCGGTTTCCATGGTGACCACAGTGGCCCTGAGGCTGGCCCCTGGGGACCCGGGGGGCGGGGGCTGTCACGCCCCGGCTTTGGAGGTCATCGGCCGGCACCGGGACAGCGTGTGCTCCTAGGAACAGTGTCCTCGCTCGCACCTGGGCCCCTGCCCCTGACCACCTGAGGCCTCTGGCTCGGAAGATGGGCCTGGGGCACCGTGGGCTGGCCGTCCGCATCCCTGGCCGCGGCCAGCTCACCCCAAGGTTGCCGCGGGCAGGGCTCCCGCTGTGCGGGATGCAGGATGAGCGGTGTTCCCCCGGGAGCGCGGTGGGGGCCGCGGAGCTGGCCCAGGCCCCGCCCCCCGCGGCCTGGCGGGCCCTGCAAACAGCCGGGCTCCCGCCACCGCCGCAGAAGGCGGCACAGGTAGGAGGGCGGCCCGGGGCGGGCCAGGCCGGCACGGGGCCTGGGGCCCGGCACCATTGTTCTCCCAGGGCCCCTAGGGAGCTGCCCTGCCCCCATGTCCCGAGTCCCCGGGACACGGGCCCTGGGCCGGTCCTGCCATTGAGGAGCTCAGGAGGCCTGCACACTGCGCCCTCCGCGCGGCGATCTGCGCTATGACCACCAGGTGGCGCTGCGCCCTCACGGCGGAGCGATGCAAGGATGTGGGATTTGGGGACTCTGTGGCCAGAGAAGGGGGTGCCGAGGCGCAGGGAAGCAGGATGATGGGGTGATCAGAGGTGGGGCTGAGGCTCGTCAGGGGGACTCTGGCCCGTGAGATGCCTTCACAGCCAGCTGACTGGCCCGCCGGAAAAAGAAGGGGTCCCCTCGCTGCCCCCTCTTCACTGCCCCCTCCCTTAGCGACTGAACTAAAGCACAGCCCCTGGGCGCCCGTCCCAGTCCCAGCTGCCCCGCTCCCAGGCCCTGTGGCTCTGAGCAAGTGACAGCCTCTCTGGGGCCCGCGTCCTCCCCCACCTAGTTCTGACCGCACGGGCTGGGCAGCGGGCGTGGGCTGCAGCGGCCATTGCCTCGGCCGCCGCGCCCCGCGGGCCTATCAGAGGCGGCCCCGGCCCCCGCCTGGCTCTGCGACCCCTCTTGGACCCTCCCCGCCCGTCCCAGCCCCCGCCCTGCCTGCCACCGCGCTGCTGGACGGGCGTGGGGGGCCCAGAAAGACGTCCTGGGGACACAGTGCTTCTTGCCAAAGACCTGGGAGTCGTGAGCGAGACCCAGCTGGGGGTGCGGACAGGGCAGAGCCGGAGGCCCTGAGGCCGCCGCGCGGCACAGAGGGGCTCCTCCAACGCGCTGGGCTTGAGGGTCTCATGCGAAGGGGCCGCCTGGGGACAGGAGCCTCGTGGCCCGGCAGCCCCACCCTGGGGACGGTCCCCACGTGTGGGCGCGTTGTCTCTGTGGCTTGTGGGCTCTAGACCCAGGGTGGGCGTCCAGCAACCTTCTGTGGGTGAGCGGATGAGTGGATGTCCACTAGGAGGCCTTGGTCACTTAGGCCCGGCCTGGCCGCCACCCACTGGCCGAGCCTGACAGGGAGGAAGGTGCCATTTGTCCTCATGCCCCTGCTCTGCCTTCTGCTCACAGAGGTCGCGGGGGGCCAGCTGAGGTCCTCCTGCAGGGACCCCCTGTCCCCGGCCGAGGCCCCACCCGGGCACCCCCAGCAGGCCCATGGCACACGCAGCCACACGCGTGCCTCCAGGAGTGGCTGGGACAGCGGCCCCTCACTGGGGCCCAAACGCCACCGGTCCACTCTGCCACATTCAGAAAGAGGGACAAGCTCTCCCTGCCCTGGGAGCCTCTGGGGGGCCACCCATCGCTCCCTGTCCGTGCCGCTGTGCCAGACTGGAGCGCCGGCCGGCCCCTGGCGGAGACCCCGGCAGTGCCGCTCTGCATCAGCACCCCTGTCCGGGGCCTCTGTCCCCCCGCCGCGTCTGTCCGGCTCCTCCTATCCGCCACCAGCAAGGACAGAAGCGTGACCAAGTGTCGGCAAGGGGCTGGCGTGGCCCCGTCCCTGTGGGGCCCCGGGGACTCACCGTGCTGGCGGTGAACTCCGGCGGGTTGTCGTTCACGTCTGCCACGGTGATGATGGCGGTGGCCGTGTTCGAGAGGCCGTAGTTCAGGTTTCCCTCCATGTCCGTGGCCTGGACGATGACTGTGTACTGCTGCACTTTCTAGAAGGAACGAGTCGGGAGAACGGGGTGTGAGTGTGGGCCCGTTCACAGGCTGCTGACCCTTCTCAGGAAGGAGCGCGAGTTCGCCGTGGCCCTCAGGGCCAGGCCCGCGGGGGGCACCCTCCCTGAGGGTCCACGCAGGCCCCGGAGCCGGCCGCCTCTCCCCTCGGTGGCTCCGGCTGTTGTGAGTAGGGACTGAAATGGGTGCCCACAGAGAGGGGGACACGGGCCAGGAGCAGAGTGCCACATGCGGTTTGGAAAGCCACGGGCAGGCAGTTTGGGGAGCAAGTGGGCGATGACCCCAGCCACGAGCCGGGAAGGGCCTCATCCCCGTGGCGTTTCCAGCGTCCGGCGGGCGGCGGCTAGACGTTCACACGGGAGGCAGGCCCACCTCCCTGCTTCGCAGGCGCGGGGGGGTGAGCCGCGCTGTTCGAGCCAGGCCCAGCAGGAGCGCGCGGTGCTCGGGGCCGGGGCGCGCGAACCGCAGGCCCCGCAGCACCTGGCCCTCGCCACGAGTCCCAGGGCAGACGCCCCGCGTCACAGAGGCGGCCTTTCCCACACCCCTGCTCGGAGCCAGCGATCGCAGGTGCTTCTGGTGTGGCCGGCGAGGACAGGCCTGGTGGCGGCTCTCTACCGGGACCACAGCCCACCCCCGCTCCCTGGCGCCGTCAGGGGTCCAAGGCAGAAGGAGACCTTATGACATGCCTTCCAAGTGACCAACTGTCTGGGGTCCTACTGCTCCAAGAGGCTAAGGGAGAGGCCCACTCCCAGCTGTGTGGCTCGGGGCGTGGCCTCAGGCTCTGGAAGGAATTAATTACCAAGAGCAGATGCTCATCCAACGGTCTCTTCCCACCCTCTCCCTCCCTCCCTCCCAGACCAGCCACCCTGGTGGCAGGTGGCAGAGCCAAGAACGAGCCCGGCCAGGGCCAGAGGAGTCTCAGGCTGAGCCCAGCCCAAACCGCCCCTCCGTGGAGCTGAGAGCTAAATGAACAGAAACCAGCGAGTGCCGTTTGAGGCGCCGCGTTCTGCCGTGCACCTTTGTGCGGCAAAGCTAACCGCTCGCACCGGAACCCTCCCCGCGGCACCTGAGGCCGCGGGCCTGGCTGCGGACCCCTCTGCGGCCTCGTCTGAGCCCGGCTCCCCGTGCCCGCTGCGCAGCCTCCCTTGGTCCCGCCGCCGCCGCCCGCTGGCCTCTGCACGAGCTGCTCCCGTGGGGAACGCTGCTGCCCCTGCGGTTACGGCCGGCTTCCCCCGGGCCTTGGCTCAAATGCCCCTTTCTCGCGGGACTCTCCCGACGCTCCGCCCAGCCGGGCCCCCACACCCTCCCTGTCCCCCGGCCGGGTCCCGGGTCTGTCACGCCGTCGCCTCGCTGCGCCCGTGCCCCTGGCTGCCTCAGGGACCACGTGCCCCGGGGACATTTGTGGGCCGTTGGGAGGTGCCGAGGGGGCTGTGAGCGGCGTCACGGGAGTGGGTGCCATGGGCCGACCGCTGCTGATCTGTGCAAATAAAGTTTTGTCAGTGTGCGGCCACGCCCCCTCGCTCACACACGGGTGGTGGCTGTTTTTTAACGACCACAGCAGAGCGGAGAGGCTGGGACAGAGACTATGGGGCCTGCAGAGGCCCCAGGGCTGGTGTGCGGGGTGGGGGCGCGGACCCTGGCGCCCACCCGCCCTCATCGCCGCGGAGACAGGGGTCAGTAGGCAGCCCCTCGGTGCCGGGTGAGGCAACACAACCTGGGACGCTCCCCAGGTGCCGCGGGTACTGGGCGCAGCAGGGCCACGGTGCGGGAGCCACCTCAGAGACAAGGGACGCACGCACACGCCTGCTGATGTGTATGCGCATGCATAGTGCATGTACACGTGTGTACCCGAGCATGCACGCGTGTGTTAGATACGGTGTATCCGTGTGGATCCATTGTACGCTCCGGAGGGCATGCCTGTGTGTGCAGAAGGCCGCCACTAGAGGGCGCGCTGGCCCTGCTTTCGGGCCCGGGGTGGGGTCTTCCCCAGCCTGGGTCGGGGCGCGAAGCAAACCCAGCAAAAGGGAGGAGATGCTGGCGGGGACCCCCGCCGGACTCAGTGTCCGAGCCCCGTCCCAAAGCGCCGGCAGGGGCTTGGGTTCCTCCGCGAGGCCTTCGGCTCAGAAAGCGTACTTTTCAGGCTCAGCTGCAGTCGCCGGTTCCTTCCCCCCACCCCCTGCAGGAACGGGGTCGGGCGGGAGTCGGGCGGCGGGACCTGTGCGTGTCCCGCGAGCTCGGGCGTCCCCTGGCGCCTCTGAACACGGAGCCCCTGTCCGGCCTCGTGCCATCTGCACGCAGGGGTGGCCCTTGCGGGCCAGGCCTGCGTTAGGAAGCCTGGCCCGGGGGGTTGCGTCCTGGCCCTCTTGCTGGGCACCCTGCCAGGCGCCGGGCGAGCGCGGCCGGTCAATGCGTCTGGAGAGCCGGACGCGCGGGCTGTGCTGCAGCCCTGACCTCGGCCGGCCTGCCCGGCGCCCGGCGCCCAGCGCCCCTGTTCACCTCCCGGCCCGGGGGGGCCACAGGGAATTTACCAAAACGGGACTCGGCCACTTTCAGGCTCAAGAGGAGGGATGAAGCTGGAGGAGGCTGTCCTGGGGTCTCGCGGCCTCCCCCAGCTCCGCATCCGCCTTTTGCTGATCAGTGGCGCGGCTGCGGCCGGCCCTCCGTGCCCTAGAAAAGCACCGAGCCTCCTCCGCGCCCTCCGCCTCCGGCTCCCACGCGGGGCGGCTTCCCCTCCCCGAAGGCTGCGCTTCCCTCCCGCGCTGGAGGCCCTGCTGCAGCCGCGGCCCTCAGACCCGGGGAGGCAGCGCCCGGGGATGTGGCCACAGGACTCGCAGAGCAGACGCCGCGGATGAGGAACCACCACGGGCTCGGTCCTGTTCACTCGGGGCATCGAGACGCTCGGGTCCCCAAAGCGGCCGCCGGCGGACATGACCCCGACGTCCCCAATGGAGGAGTGAGCGCCCGGAATGAAGTCCAGCCCCACGACAGGACGATTCAGCCTCAGAAGGGAGTCGAGCCCCCCAGGGCCCCGCCCACCGTCTGGCTGGGAAGCCACCACCTGCAGCCGAAGTGCCCGGAGAGGCCTGGAAAGCAGCGTCCGGGATGAGCGGCCTGCGGTGGCCGCTGGGTCACTCCGTCCGCAAGGGCAGAGTCGGGCCGGGAACCCAGGAGCACAGACAGGACCTTTTGAAACATTTTATTTATTTTTTTAATTTATTTACAGAGAGGGGCAGGGAGGGAGAAAGAAGAAGAGAAACATCAACGTGTGAGGAATGTCTTGAACACCTGCTGGGGACCTGGCCCGAGACCCAGGCCTGTGCCCTGACTGGGGATCAAAACGGCGACCTTTTGGTTCGCAGGCCGGTGCCCCATCCACTGAGCCGCGCCAGCTGGGGCTGGACAGAGCCTTTTAGTGGGTGTTTTTCCTTCCATTAGAAGGATGATGTGATTTCTCTTGCTTTCTCTTGGGCTCGCTGCTTCCTGGGAGGTGAGCAGAGGGAGCTGGCGGGGAGACAGCGCCCGGAAGCCCCGAAGTGCTGGAAGCCGGGGTCCCCGTGTGTCTGGACGCATCCTGTCGGGTCGCAGCCCTGGCACAGCGCAGTCGCACACGCTGCCTCCGCCCCCGCTTCCTGCTGACGCCCCAGACGCTGGGCCACAAAACTCGCAGCGGTGAGCCCGCCCTCCCTCCCTGGAAGAAAGCCCCTCCTTGGAGCCCAGGCTCCGGCAGGACAGGCCCCCGGATGCGGGGATGCCACGGGAGGGGGCTCAGGAGAGGGGGGCGGGTCACAGAGATGGGGGAGCGGGCGGCCCAGCACAGCGGCCAGAGGTCCGTGGGGATGACGGAATCGGAGGCCGGGTCAGGGGTCCCAGCTTCCACGGTGAGTCGAGCCTGAGGGGCAGCTGAGTTTTATTCAACAGCCGCTGACGCTCCACTGGTGACGGTTGACCGGTCCCTGTGGTCAGGGCGTGCTTGTCCCCTGCCCGGCCCCAGTGGTCGCCGCCGCAGAAAACTCCTTTCTCCTCATGGAGGGGGGGTCAATGGCGTGTGTCCGGCCAGGCACAGCCGCGGAGCCACGCAGGCCTGCCCTGGGCCTGGCGGAGGCCGGGGGGCTGGTCCAGACGCTCTGCAGAGCCCACCCGGCAGGGCCCCCTCTGGTCTCGTTGGGCGGACGTTTCAGGTCGAGGAAGGCGATGGCCGGCCGCACGGGGTTCTCGGAGAGGGATGGGCTCCGCCAAGGAGCGCGGGGCCAGCAGGGCCGGCGGGGGGCTCTGGGTCGGCCGGGCTGCTGGGCGATCGGCCCGTCCCAGCAGGCTGCCCGGCCCCACGTCAGGAAGCCTGGCAGGCGCGCGGGGCCCCCGCAGAGGCGCCTCCTCCTCCGCACACGAGAGACACTTGAACCGCGCGGCTCCTCTGAGTCTCTCCTGACATTTTAATCGCATAGAAGCGCTCGATTTACATAGCTCTGCCTAATTAGACACGGTGGCAATTACGTGTGTTGATTTTGCCCTTCCCCGAGACGGCTTCCTCGGTCGAGCGGGAAGCGGGTTCTGCAGAGGAGCGTCCACAGAGCCTCCCCCTGGGCGCCATGGCCCACCAGCCGTGGGTTCTACGCGCTCACGGAGGAAGGAGGAAGCAGGCGCTGCCCACGTGCCCCTTCCGGAGTCGCTTGTGTGGATGTCCGGCCAAAGCCAGGCCAGCCGGGTCCTGAGGAGACACGGCCCACGTGCGCCTTCCCTTCGGCCTGGAGTCCAGAGGGTCTGAGGGCAGAGGCGGCACCAGCGGCTGGGGGGAGGGCTGGACGGCTGCGCAGGAGGCGGAGACTCGGTGACGAGGGACATGGGGCAGTCGGGGTGGAGGGTCATCGGGGATCAAGAGGCCACCCGCCGCTCCCTGCACCCCGCGCCTGTGAGTGCCGGAGGCTGCCTTCCCCGAGACCCCGCGGCCCAGGGTCCCGGCACAAGGGGCTGCCCCGCCTCGTGCTCAGGTGATTTCTCAGGTGCGGGGCTTCCGACTGAAGTCCTCCCACCGCCCGTTCTGGGGCAGCTGACTCCCTGCTGCGATGGGAACACTGTGTGCCCTGTGCAGAGAGGGCGGCGGGGGGCCGGCTGGGAGGCATGCGTGCGGCGCCGGCCTGGCAGCCAAGGACCGGAAGGCGTTTTTGGCGGGACTGATGTTCACTGTGCTCCCTGAAGTCAGGGCGCCCTGACAGCCCCCGGTGACAGGCACCCACGCCCCCCGGGCGGCGACAGAGCCCGGGTGCCGGCGAGCCTGCAAAGGCAGGCGCCCGCAGCCGCCGGGCCGGGGCGCGCTCAGGTCCGACGCCAGGGACGTGCCCCTGTGGCGGCTGCAGGCGGACGGCTCCGCTCCAGGGCTCGTGTCTCGGGTGACAGCTGGCCGGCTCGGCGCCGGTCGCACGGATCAAGCCCGACGGCCCCCCGGGCCTGCTGTCTTGTCTCCCTGATCTGCCGCGCCCGCTCTCAGGGAACGCGTCCCCTGTCAGCTCCAGCCTGGCTCCCCCTCTGTCAGGTGTCCCTGCGGTGCCGGGGCGGGAGGCCCGGGAGCAAGCCGGCTTCTCAGAGAGGGGCCTTGCGGGCGGCGAGGCTGCCTGCTCGGTCCCTGTCCCAGGCCCAGACAGGGGCTCCCGGTGGACGGCGGCTGCTGGGGCAGGGCTGCGGGGCAGAGCAGGGGAGGCAGGGGGCAGCCTAGCGTGCACGGGACACACGCTGCACGCGACTCGCCATTTGCCCGGCGCTCCGACCCAGCTGGGCTCCCCGTGTGGAACCCAGGGGTGGGCACGGCCACTCCAGCCGACGCCGGAGCCGCTCCGGGGGGCCGGGGGGAGGGTCGAGACGCCGAGCTCGGTGGGCAGGCACCCAGTGGACTGGTATGTTTTCAGAGATACCTTCCTCCGTCTGGAGAGAAATGCTGTGGCTAGAGTTCTCCTCCAGGGAGGTCTGGACGATTAATATACGGCCCCTCACAGCACACAGCGCCCGGCCGGGTGGGGCTCCCCAGGCTGCCGGGGAGGGGGCGCTGCCAGGTGTTTGCTAAAGGGCTGGAGACGACAGGCTGGAAGGGTGGGCGGGGGCCTCCCCTGCCGTGCCCAGCGGGCCTGTGCTCTGCCCCCTGTCCCCTGCCTCTGCCCCTCCAAAAGCCGCCCATTCGTCCACAAATAAATGAAAGTCAGGAGCAGCCCCCTCTTCGCCCCCAACACAGCACAGCTGGCTTGGGGAAGCCGAGGCGTGGTGTCCTGAGCGGGCTCAGGCTGGGGAGCCAGCAGTTCCTCCGAGGTTCTGGGGTTCGGGAGTGCACCCCCGCTGTCTGCGGTCCCCTCCTCGCTCTGCAGAGGCTCTGGAAACACCCTCAGCCCCGCAGGCCCCACAGCCCCCGAGCTCCCGCCACCCGGCCCCCGCCCCTCGAGCACACGCGCGGCACATGCTGTCAGCTCCTCGGAAAGCGCGGCTGGGCGGGGCTCCGTGGGGCTGGGGGCAGGGGTCTGCGGGGGCAGCGAGGCAGACTGCAGCTGCTCCCCAAAGGTGGGAAAGCACCCGTGTGAGACACGCCTGGACATATGTGTGTTGCTTTTTGTTTCTGAGCGACAAAGGGGAGCCCTCCCCGCTCAGGGCCGGCAGGGCACCGCAGGTGGGGGGAGGCCGGGGGGGGGGTTGGGTTTGCTAACGTCTGCGAAGACCTCACGGAGGGGCCTGGCCTGGCGCTGCAGTCACGGGGTGGGACGCTTCCCCAGCCCAGGGGCGGCAGGCTTCTAGGAGCCTGGAGGGGCGGCGCCCCGCCAGGATCCCCGGACCTGCTCCTGCAGGGCTGCGTCCCGCTGAGCAGCACCGCCCTGCGGTCACTGGGGGGGGGGGCGGGGGCCTCGCCGGGCCTCCAGCGCATGAGCGAGAGAGGTGCCCAGACTGGCCGAGGCCCCCACCCCCACCGCCTTGGCCGTCCTGGCCTCCCAGCCGGCGTCGGCCCGCCTCGCCACCCCGCCGCCGGCCCCCACCACCGATGGAAGCTGCTGTGCCCCGAGCTCAGAGACGTCCTCTGCGGTGCCCCCGGCCATGAGCCGGTGGGGACCCTGCCTGTCCCCTGCGGAGTCGTGAGGCTGCACGGATTACCTGTCACGTGGCCGCTTGACCCCGCACCTGGTTGTGCCACGCGGTGCTTCCCGGGATGGGGCGGGCGGGGCTGCCCACCGCCTGGCAGGGAGCCGAGCCTGAGACCCAGGCTCCAGGCCTTTGGCACCCTCCCCCACCCCGCCCCCGCCCCCGCCGGCAGGACCCCGCGAGTGGGACCAGCTCAGGGACTTGGCCGGGGGTGAGCGTGGCGCTGGCTTTGCTGAGACCCTTCCCCCAGGCGGGGCCGGCCTCCCGGTCGCTCCGTGACCGGCCCCTGGAGAGCGCGCTCTGCGGCCCTGCGGCCTTCGTGGGCCGGGCCCGGCCGCCCCCCGCCCGCCGCCCCGCGCGCCCGCCTCACCTCCCGGTCCAGGCCGGCCGCCACGGTCACGATGTCCCCTGTCTCGCTGTTGATGGTGAACATGTTCTGGGAGGGGCTCTGCGGGCTCTGGGTCAGGATGCGGTACCGCACCATCCCGTTGGCCGTGGCGCCGTCGTCGGCGTCGTTGGCCGTGACGGTCATCACGTAGGTGCCTGCCACGGAGAGCAGCTCGGTGGGCGCCACGCGTGCACCGGCCGCCGCCTGCACCTGCTCGCCGCGGCGGCAGCGCCGGTCGGTGGCCGGCCCCCCCACACCCTGGGCTGGTGCCGCCCGTCCCGGGGGGGCCCCAGGGAGCCGCTGGAGGGCCCTGTGGAGTGCAGGGCTCGGGGGGGGGGGGCCAGCTGCCCGGACGCCACCCTTTCCCGGCCGGGCCGACCCGGGCTCCGGGGAGAGGCACACGGGGCAGCGGCCGGGCCCAACCTGCGCCCCCTCCCGGCCCACCGGGCCCCCAGCTCCGCGCCCCGCGTGTGCTGAGGCTCGGCCGGTCCCGCATGGAGTGTGGCGGGGACTCAGGGGCACGCGGTGGAAGGCAGGCCAGGCCCGTGCCCAGGCCGGGCGAGCGGACAGCGCCCGATGAGCCCTGGAGGGGGTGGCGGGGAAGAGCCTAGAAGAGCCCGGGGGGGGGGGCGGTGCCCGTGGGACGCAGGGAGTCAGAGGGGCGCAGTCGGGGTGCACGCGGGGCGAGCGGGCGTTTTCATTCCGGAGCCGGGGGCTGGGAGAGCGGCCCGCGCCCTCGCTCAGGCAGGGCCTCGGTGTCCCCGTCCACTCATTGGGGCTGAGGTCTGCGGGGGCCCTGGCGCGCCGCCTGCCTGAGAGTGGCCCTTGCAGGTCCTTCGGTGTCCGCGCGTCCCCGTTGGGAGGCCCTGGTGGGACCGGGCGGGGCCCCGGCCGGCGGGACCCAATTTTCTGAGCTGTTATTCCTCCGGTCGGAAAGTTCCCGTGTTCAGTGCACGGGCGGGCCTTCCGTTCCGGGGTCACCGCTTAGAACGAAGCACTAATCAAGCACCGATCAGGGTCTGAAGCCTGCTGGCTCTTCGGTTAAAAATAATGGAAGTCACATTGGATGTGAGCAACAACACCCTCGTTTTGTGCTTCCTGCTCCGTGTGCTCAGAGGACTGGTCCTGGGGCTCGGCCCCCTCGCAGCCCTGGCCCCCCTCAGCCCCTCCCCGACGTGGGGGGCCAGGGTCTGATCACATCAGTTCCTCACCCAGCCGAGACGGTAATGACTTTGAACTCGTGCCACACAAAACTCCTCCAGCTTTCTCCCTGCCTCCCTCCCTCTCTGCCCCGGCAGTGGTGGGGGCGGGGCGGAGCGTGGGGGGCGGTGCAGGGGGCGGGGCTCTGAGCACGTGGAAACCCTGATCAGCTGGGCCTCTCCTGCCGTGGGAGCAGCTGGACAAGAAACCCCTGTTTCCCACACGGGCCCCCGACTGGCACACCAGGAAACAGGAGCTCCCGGGGGACACTCTCCCAAAGCTTCAAGTCCGAGGTTCCGAGTCAAATTTCCTGGCTCCCGGGAGGAAGTTCCGGGGAGAGAGTGTGTGTGTCCCCGTGGCTCAGCCTCTGCCCGCCTCCCACGCTGGGTTCTTGCGTCGGTTGGGTGGTGAGAGGCTCCTCCTCCCGGGCCCTGCCCGCGGGTGTGTGCCCCGCCCCGGGGTGGAGGACGCAGGCGCCTCTGCCTCTGGACCCCCATCTTTCCACCCAAATGCTTTTTAAACCAACTTTATTATCGATCAGTGAAGTAGGGGGAAGACATTTTCCACTCGGCAAATCCCCGCCTAGGAATTCCGCAAAAAGGCTGAATCACGCCCTTGGCGCCCACGCGGACGTGGCTCCCGCCCGCCACGATGAGGTGCTCGCCCCGGGCGCCGCACCTCCGCCGCGCACCTGCTGCAGGCGCGGCGCAGGGCCCTTCCGGGAAACCCCGGGTCAGGCGGGGTCCGTCTGCCCGCTCGGGCGCTGGGGGCGGGCTGTGCTTCTTGCCTCGTGTCTGTGTCACTCTGGCTGTCCCCGCTGTCCTCACGGGGCCTGCACCTCATCCCCTCTTCATATAAAGACAGGGCCACAGGGCGTCAGGCCCCCCGCCCCCCCCCCCCCCCCGCCCCCACCTGCCGCATTTAACTGCTCACACCTGCAAAGGCTCTGCTTCCAGACGAGGCCCTGCTCCGAGGCGCCGGGTGCACGTGACTTTGGGGACCCCTGTTCCGGCCCTTCAGGGATGAGGCTGAGGCTGAGGCTGAGGCGGGCGGTGGACAGGCCAGATGGGCCCGGGCCTTGCAGACCAACCACGGTTCCGTGGCCTTGGGTGGCTCCGCAGGGGCCGGGGCTCGGGCTTGGGCTGGATCCGGGTGTCACTCCCAGCACCTGGCTCCAACCGTCACCGAGCCGCTCAGAGCCGGGGACCCGCCCCCAGAGCCCAGGTGTCCCTGAGGGGGTCACTGGGAGGAGTTGAAGAGCCACCGTGAGCTGGGTGCCCAGGGAGTGGGCAGGGTGGCCCGTGTGTCTAGGAAGGTATGACCCTGGCACTGAAGGTCCCCAGTGGGCCCCCAGCTCCCTGATGCCACAGGGAAGAGCCTGGCCGCCCACGGAAACATTTGCGCACAGTCCCTGCACATGCCCTCTGCTGAGGGAGCTGTCACACTGGCATTCAGGGTCACCCTGGAGCAAGCGAGGCCACACTGTAACAAGCGTGGTCCCACGGGACACGTCGCCCCATCGCCTGGGCTGCGGAAGCGGGAGGCAGCTGCCTCCCAGGCCTGCCTGCGCAGGAGAAAGACAGCCTGGAATTTTTCTCAGCAAATGAGACAGAACGTCGGGATCGTCTGCCGCCGGAGGAGGGGCGCGGCGGCCGGACGTCGCTGTATTCATCCCGGTGACAGGAGCGGAGCGAGGCCGGGCGGGCCCTCCGAGGAGGTCGTGCGTGCACTGCCAGGCGCCTTAAAGGATTAATTTCACCAGCCTTAAATTGCAGTTTAATTTGAAAACTAATTCAGCCCCATAATTGGCTTTCTGCTGAAATCACTGAGGCTAAAGATTTAAATTCTTAATATTCAGATGACTTTCAAGTATCTGCGCCATCTGTGCGTCGGTCCGCAGTGTTCATCTCGGGGGTCCTCTGCCAGCGCGGAAATAAAATAAATAAAGAGATGGGCCCACTAATAGAATAATCTATTTAAGCATGAGTCCCGTGTCCTATAGAGGAAGGTTTCTTTGCCTTCATTCGCTGCTTGTAGGTTTCTCTGCCGTTTAATATTTCAAAGTGACATTAATTTCAAAACATATAAGACAGGCCCTCACGCCACCACGAGGGCGAGGGAGGCAGGGATTCCACCTCGAACCTTTTTGAAAAAGAACTTGGAGGCGTCTGCTCTCGGGAAGTTGGAGAAACTGGGCCAGGCCGGGTGGGGGTCGGGGGCAGCCTCTGGGGTTCCCCGCGGGAGAAGGGCTGGCGGCAGCTGGTGCAGAGGCTGCGGGGCAGACTTTCTCTGTCGGTTTGTTTTAAAATAAGACCAGGGAAGTTTGAGCCATGATAGAAAACCCAGGCACCTCTGTGGAGTGTCCTGGGTCTCGGGGAAGGAGGCCCTGCCGCCCTTGTTAACAAGACACCCCCCTGCCCCCCAGGCTCAAGAGGGGGCTGCCAGCAGGGCTCATTCATTTTCTTTGACTGCTTGCGGCTAATTTGCCCGCCTACCGCCTGCCTCTGCCCCTCACGGGACCGCGGGGACTGGCCATCCAAGGTTCTGGCAGAAATAATGTCGCATCCTGTTCCCTTCGCTTGCCCTCGCCTCACGATCCTGAGACAATCAATCGAAAACACGATTCACCTTGTTGAAATAACAGCCCCAGAGACAGAACTGTGACAGCCGCCGGCAGCCGCGGAGCGATGATAGATGTTCGTCCTTGCTGCCCCAGATGGAGCCGCGGCTGACCCCGCGGCGGGCGGCTGGAGGGCGGGCGGGGAGGCCGGCCGGCGCCACGTGCTGTGCCCGCTCCCGCCTCAGCTGCCCAGCCCCGCGGGCCGGAGCTGGACGTGCCCCTGGGGCCAGCACCCCCGGACAGCAAACCTCCGCCAGCGGGGAACACGGCATAACCACGTTTACGCTCCGAGCATCGCGCGGGCCCCCCCTGCGTATGGAAATGGTTTGGGGTTCGTTTGAACTTCAAATGAACACCGGTGTCCTGTGTTTCACGGGCTGCTTCTGGCAGCCCCAGGGAGGCCTCTTCCGTGACACGTGGCCCAGCGTTCTCGTCCAGCCCACGCCGGACATTTCTCCCAAGGACAACTCACCCCTCCCCGTTGGAGACAGCGGCACAGGGCTGTGCTGCTCAGACTTGGGCGCCGCAGAAACCACCTGGGAGGCGCGTGCGCCTGGCCGGGGGCCCCACCCGCAGGGTCTGCGTCCGCGGGTCTGGGAGGCAGGATTCTGCGTTTGGAACCCACCCACAGGCGACACAGCTGGTCCCCGGACGAGGCTCCAGCGGCCAGGGATGCCGACGCCCCTCTGCACCGCGGAGCCTGGCTGCTGCCTTCGCCTCTTCGGGCCCTGGTCTCGTCTTTGCTGGAGGGGGCGGGAGGGGCCTCCCCGCCTGCAGCCGCCTCCCGCCCCCCCCGTGCACCGGCCCTGGCCCTTCTCTGCGGCCTGGTCCTTCGACACCTCCGCTCTCGGCCTGCGCGCCCCCTCGGCGGAGGTGCCCCGACCTGCGGGGTCCCCGTCTGAGCCGCGCTGTCGCCGTGACACCCGTGCCCTGGGTTTGGCTCATCTCCCGCCTGTGTCCCTGTCCCGGCTGGGAGGGCCCCGTGCCCCAGCGCAGCGCCTGCACGCGGTGGGCGCTCCGCGGGCACCCGCTACATGGACTCATCGGCGGGCGGGGCTGGGGCCTCCCGATCCCCGGGGCGGCGCTCACCTGGCCTGGAGCCCTCGGCCACGGAGCCGTTGTAGACCTGGTTGAGGAACTCGGGCCGGTTGTCGTTCATGTCGATGACGTAGATGTACAGGTCGATGGGGTTCTCCACCTTGTTGCCGTTCATGTCCACGGCGTGGGCTCGGAGCTGCAGGGCAACGCGGGCGGGGTCAGTGCCGGCGCCGCCTCCGGGGCCAGCACTCCTGGCCGTCCAGCCGGGGAGTGGGCGCGGCCGCTCTGCTGCGCGCCCTCCCCAGGGAGGAGGTACGGGTGCGCGCTCGGGCCGCCCGGACCCCGGTGAGGGACCTGGGCGCGGCGCCGGCACCGTGGGCGCGAAGCCTTCTTTCCGGCCACCCCGCACCGGCCCAGCTGCGGGTGCCCCGCCAGCGAGGCCCCGGGCGGAGGTACTCACGTGGTAGGAGGCCCGCTCCTCCCGGTCCATGGGCCGCGTGACATACATCCGGCCGGACATGGAGTCGATGCTGAAGACCTCCATGGGGGGCTGGTCGGCGCCCACGCCCGTGACACTGTAGCGGATGGGGATGTCGTTGTCTTTGTCCGACCGAATCTGGAGGGGGGGCGAGAGAGAGGGGGTCCGTCGGCGGCGGAGTGGGGCGCACGCCCGGGCCCCGACCCCGCCCGTCTTTCCTGCGCACCTGGGGCCTCAGCGAGCACCTCACCCACGCCGCCTGTCACCGGGGTTTGCGGAGTGCCCCCCGTCCCCCGACACCGCATTCCGAGTGAAAGGTTCTGCAGGCCGTGGGGGACGCCCAGGCCCGATGCCACCGAACCTCAGAAAACACAACGGCGAGAAGACAGCAGCCTGTGCGCAATTTGAGGGGAAAAGGCTGGGACCCAACGCATTTACACCCCTGAGGGTTCATCTGCGCGGGAGGGCAGGGGATGGATCTGGTCTTTTGCTCCTGGGAGCGAGGCCCTGGCAGGGGGTGTCGGTCCCTGAGAGGCGGCCTCGGGAACGGGTGCGGCAGAAATGACATGGGCCCAGCATTTAGGCACAGACGTTCGACGCTGAAAACGGTCGCTGGGCTAAATGCAACCATCAGAATCATTTTTATAGGAGCTGTATCTTTGGTTTGGAGAAACAATCAAAGAGCGGCGATGTGGGCCCCAAACACCCGGAGGGTTGGCGCAGACTGAGACCCGTGGGGAGACGTCAGAGCAGATAGGGGCGCGTGGGGGCTGGGGGTGCGGGCGGGCCACGCCCAGGCAGCGCGTCGCGGCCGACCAGGTATCGGGGTCGTGCATCGGTCTTTGGGGAACGCAGAGGACCCCCGAGGGAGGACGAAGACGCACGTTTGCTTTGGAGGAAGCCAAGGCGCTCGATGGTGGGGGGCAGGTTGGCGCCGTGTCACGGACGCTGGGGAAGGCCCCAGGCCCCCGGGAGCGTGGGGGCGTGTGAGGAGGCGGCGGAGATGGGAAAGCCATTCCAGTGGGGTCGCTTTCTCAGACCGGCATCCACCGGGAACACGCCTCCAGAAAATGCCGCGTTAGCGCCGGCCAGGTGGCTCGGTGGGTTGGAGCATCGTCCGAACACCAAGAGGTTGCGGGTCGATCCCCAGTCAGGGCACGTCCGTCCGGGAGGCAACCACTGGGTGTTTCTTTCGTACATCAATCTCTCTCTCAAATCAGTAGGTAGATCCCCGGGTGAGGGTTGAAAAAAAAAATAATAAAGAAAATGCCAGTTTAAATCAAAGCCCAGGGGACCAGGGTCCCATATTATAATAAAAGGGACCACCATGAAAACCTCAGGAAGGTTCCACAAAGCGAAATCGAGCCGGGCCTCTTATCGGAATAATGCAATTAAGACTTAATGCTACTACTTAGAGACATTTAGGAATTTTAAAAACATTCTGAAATAACCATGGGGTTAAGTAGGAATCAAAACGGCATTTAGAGGCTATTAAAAACCGGCAACGGCAGTGAGACCACATCGCACAGAGAAACCCGAGGAAATCGGCCGGAGGCCGTGTCTTGGCGCCTGCCCCGGCGGCGGTGGCAGGGGGGCCCCGCCCCCGCCCCGGCCCCACGGTCTCACTCACAGCGCCGGGCGTCCCAGGACAAGGCCCTGAGCCCTCTTCTCACACGTCTGTCTCTGCTGCCCCCCGGCAGCGTCCCTCAGACCGAGCAGCCGCCCCCCAGGCAGCCGGGCAGGACTCAGGCAGGCGGCCGCCGAGCCGACAGGGGTCCCGGTCACCCAGCTCTGCTCCGGGGGGCGGTGCACAGAGAGGTGGCCCTCCATGGCCGAGGCCCATCTCCTTTCCTCCCGCGGGGGGTTTGCATCAGGAAGATTTGGTCACCCGGGAAATGGGGCAGAAACCGGCGAGTCTGTGTCAGAGAGAAGCAGGCCTGGGGCCCGTCCTTGGCCGCCTGGGCGGCTGGTCCCTCCGGGCTGGGAGAGCGGCTTCAAAGAGACCACACGCAGCGAGGAGAGAGGGGAGCCGAGTGACTGATGTAAGCAGTCAGTCAAGGCTCGCGGCTCAGGAGACGCCAGTCCTGCCTTCTAGGAGTGCGGAAGGTTCCAGAAGGGTTGCTGAGTTCGGGGCTTATTTGACTGTAGGCGAAGAGGGGCGCACAGCTGGCCCTCAGAGGACACTGGCCAATGGGAGTGGGAGGAGGGGGGCGTGTGAGCGGGGGATGGGGCCATGGTTCTGGGGACGGGGGTGGGGGGTGAGGGTGGAGGGCTGGGGCCTGGCGGCCTGGGTCTCCCGCCCCGGCTGGTGGACAGACGACCCGCCGAGCAGCCTCCACGACATCCTCTGGGCCAGACAGCCCGTCTTTCACAGGGAAATTCAATTATAAAACTGCTGAAAAGAACCCACTGCATATTTAAGAGATTCTATTTTTCGCAGAGAAATCTCATTACGTTTCGACCATCGGGCCGCATGTTCTGAACTCTCCAGGCGCTGTTCAGCGAGGCCAGCGACGCCCGGCGCGGGTGTTCCGCGCAGCGAGCCCTCCTGCCGTTCACCGTGTCAGGGAGACACGGTGCGCAAAGGGATGCGCCCGGCCAGGGGCCGCGGCGGCGGCCGCGGGGCCGTGAAGGAAGGGTGCAGACAGGCCTTTTCATCGCGCGTCTCCCTTTTATGATGCTGCTGAGAATTACGCTCTTTTGCATTTGTTATTAAAGGACACAACAGATGGTAAAAGGTTAGTTTAAAGGGACGTCTCCATTAAAATAACTTATGGAGCCCGCGGCTGCGGTCACCCAGGGACATCTGCGCGGGAGGCCGGCTCCCGTCCTCGGCAGAGGCTGGGTGGACGGAGGCATTCGGGCAGAGTCCCCCCACGGAGCAGTATTTGCCTAATTTCAAATGAACTTGAAACTGGAGAAAAGTCACCGCGTGTGGTTTTGCATTGCAAACACCTTAGAGATTTAGCCCCGAAGCAGCGCGGCAGGAGCGCGCGCGGCGGGCGGCCGGCCCACCCAGGCTCCGCCGAGGGGACGGCAGGTGGCGGCTGCGCCCGGCCCCACCTCCCGGGGCCTTTCCGCTGCGCCTTCCTCAGCCCGCCCTGCACGCTGTGTGACGCTGCGTGACGCTGCGTGACTGTGCTGGCCCAGGCTGGAGGGTCACAGCGTGGCCCCCGCGGCCCACGGGCCGGGAGAATTAGAGGTGTCCCCAGCAGGGGCCGCCCCCATGGCAGAGTGTGACAAAGGGTGTAGAGGGAGGGACGGGGGCAGTGAGAAGCCCCGTGGGAGGACTGAGGAGTCCCACCGAGAAAGTCAGGGTCCAATGGGGTGCACACGGCTCCCCGACACGCTGGCGCACACAGGCGCACCCACGCACTTGTGGGTGCGCGCGTGCCTGCGGCTGGCCGTCTCAGAAGGCGGGGCTGCTAGCCCCTGAGCGGGTCTGCCCGTTGCTGTGGCCTCCCGGGACCCCCGACCGGCATGGTAGCCACGCTCCCCGAGCCCTGCGGTCACTCCCTTCCAGATGGACTTGCTTCATAGCGAAGCGCCTTAGCTCTTTCTCCGCCCTCGATGTTAAATCCGGAGATTTCCTGAGAAAACAGAGCGTGAACTGTTCTTTCCAGCACCTGCCGGGCGCTCTGAGCTGCCGGCGCAGCCCCCTCGTCCCATCCATCGGTCCGGAGCCCTGAGTCTGAGGGCGGAGGCTTCCCCCTGCCCCGCCCCCTCCTGGGACCGGGCCTGGACGCAGGTGCCCGTGGCCCGCCAAGAAGGGAATTGTGTTTGAATCCCACCCCGCCGAGCGCAGAGGTGAGAGACCGTTTCACGGGGATGTGCCTGCAGGGGGCCATGGCCTCAGCCGACCGGCCACTGGCCCTTCAGCGGGGCGGCTCGGCTTCCACGGGGGCAGTCCGGGTTTGCTCAGGCTCATGGGCTCTGTGCACACCCGCCTGGCTGAGCCTTGTCCCCAGGGACGGCGTGGCCAGGCCTGACAGAGCAGTGGGGGGCCCGGAGGGGCGCCTGGTGGGGGCCGGGCGGGCAGGGCGGAGACGGGGCCTCTCCCCAAGCACCACGCTCGCTGCGTGAGGGACAAAGAGAATGAGTAGAGAGGCAGGGAGGGTGGGGAGGCAGGGCAGGGCCGGGAGAGACGCGAGGTGTGCCCTCTGCCCGCCCCCGCCGGCGGGCCTGGTGCATCGGGGCCGGGCGTGGGCCCTGCTCTGCAGAGGACGGCGGGGTTCCAGCCCTGGGTCTCCCAGAGAGTCCACCCCTCGCCCGGCCTGTTCCGCAGGCAGAGACTGAGGCCCCGAGGGAGGACACCGGTGGGACAGTTTCAGGGGTGACTGGAGACCCGGGTCCCGTCTTGGTCACGTGCGTTCCTAGGAGCCTCAAAAAGCAGCAAGGAAGCTGTGGACAGGGATGCTGAGCCTGGAAGGTCCTCCCAGGCCCCTCGGCTCAGCCGGAGTCACCAGCCCTGGTCGTCACTGTGCGTGGCTCCCAGGCCCAGGGCCGGAGCTTCCCTTTAATTGTCTTGGAAAGTGACTGTGGAGCTGCAGGCGAGTCCTGTGTGCGCCTCTTTCAGCTCGTGGTGAAATTGCATGGAAAAGCCCTTTGTCTCGGCCCTGGGTGAGCAGCAAGATCCAGCCACGACGAAGCCGTTCTCAAGGTAGCGGGGCCGACGTGGGGCGCGGGGTGGCTGAGGACTCCTCGGGTGTTATTCCCGGCTCCTCCTCGATTCCTGAGCAGCCGTCTCGTGAAGATGTTCGCCAGGCGGTGTTTCCTGGCCCTTTGCCTGCACGGTGAAGTTCAGCCTTTGATTACTTTCAGTTCGGCTCCTGTAACGAGCAGGACGCCTCGCACGGTGATGGGAAGAGGCATCGGCTGCATCGCACCGACTCCGGCACACGGCACCGTCCCTCGTTTCCTTCCGTTTTATAAATCATGGAAACCCCTCCAAGTCGCGCGAATGCTAATGAAGCTACGAGCATGTTCTTACAAAATTGGCTGGCGGGGGGCGGGGAGGGTGAATGAGACGCTTCTCAGCAACGCCCCTCAGGTTGAACCAGGCAAACGAGGACAGGCAGCTACTGAATTTTGCGTTGCACCCCCGTTGTGACTGGTCTTGGGGACACGGTCAGGCAAGG